ATGCTATTATTGCAAGTATGACTCCACCCCCTGTGAGCAAAAGGTGTGAATCAGCGTCCCAACGATACCAACACAAAGAGGGAGGGAGGGACAAAAACAAGGGGACGTCGAGCCCCGCTTGCACTCACTACATACACATGACACGACACCAAAGAACCACAGCTGAAGTATCCAAACCCAGATGATGGGGCCCATGACTCTCTATGAACAATAGAACTAATCAAGCCTATCGTTAGGCGATGGCCCTCTTTTGCATGTGACTAACCTGTTTGTCCATGTGGAGGCAGTGCTCTTAAGGCTGAGTTCAGCTGAAACTCCTCAGACTGAAGAAGTCTCTTGGAGGAGAGACGAAARYTTTCACTAAAGAAGAACSCARCKAGAGGACCTACTTATTTTTTTCTTTTTGACAACTTCAACAGTTRATTGAAAAATCAAATTGTAGTTTTGCTCATTTAACAGGACAAAGTTGGGTTCAATAGAAAGGTTTTGAAGAGTTCAATTCAATTCAGTTTATTTATATAGCGCCAAGTCACAATACACGTTGTCTCAGGGCACTGTACGTAAAAAAGTGAGTTATTATCTTACCTGTGGTAGATATCTCTGCTGCTGTCGGGTCAAGAGGTCCTGTAAATATGATTTATGAACCTTTCTGCTGCCATCTTTCACATTTTATGATTATTCCAGCAGAAATATTGTTCATATTTTTACAGGAAGTAGCCCCAAGATGAGCAGAAAAAAAAGTCACTGATGATGAAGAAATAAATAAACTAAATAAACTAATATTTGGTTTCGTTTTCTACTGAAGTGACAAAAAAATAGTGAGCAGGAAGTGCTACAGCATGGTTCATACAAACAAGGTAAACAAACTTTAAACTGCTCTGAAGCTGTATGTATTTCATGTTTTTAATRAAACCTAATAAAACCAAAGCTCCAGTTCAAACTGCAGAAAGCCGACACGTCTGAAGGARCTGGTTCAGTGAATCAATCATCTTTAGTCACAGAAATAAGTTTTTTACTGGCTGCTAACTTCAGCAGAACCACAGTTCCCTGCTGTTTTCTGTTCGCTTTTCTTGTCACATGTTGAATATTAGGAACAAACACTGATTTTAASGACTATTAAAGCTGGAATAAAACAACAGAAGGACTTAAACAAACACGTTTTTCTGTCTGGAAGTCAGCGTTTTGTTGTTTTCTGAGTAAAACTGATGGAGTCGTGTGACGGATGAGATGTTTCGTCCTGGATGTCTGTGGCCGGAGCAGAGGCAGCAGATGGGACGCTGCTCCCTCTCTGTCTGGATTATTTACAGGCATGTGACACACGTGTGCCACGAGAACCCCCCACCCTCGGACCTCCCATCAGTAACCAGCATCTGCCTCGTCTCCAGAGGTACGGCAGCTTGGAGATCCTCATCCCTCAGGAGCCCGGGGAGGGGTGTCGGCAGCAGAAAACCTGACCCCCACAGGCCCTCGGGGGACGAGTCGACCTGTTGAGAGCGCTCCAGCTGTCTGCTGCGGGACAAAAAGACGGCTGGACGTCTGTCTGCTGCTTCTGTTTGTGAGAACAGGAGTCGGAGACTTGTTTTTCTCTGCTGACTAACAGCTCTTTACATTTCCTGCTTCCTGCAGGACCAGATTCAGTTCTGTCTGTGTGCGTGGTTCTGTTCTTTACCTGCAGGGACCATCTTTGACCATTTATGGTGACAAAAGTCTGGTCCCCATGAGTGCAGTTCTGGTTGTGGGGGGTTGAGTTTAGGTTAGTGACCAGTGAAGACACGTTTAACCGCTGGGTGTCCAGGTGGTGTTCTGAAAACACGTAGACAACTGGAGTTGTTTTTTGGGGAAAACCTGATCTGACGCGGAGAGATGGCATCCATCCCACTTTGGCTGGAGCCGCTCCCCTTTCTAAGAGTTTAGCTGATTTTGTTGACCACTGAATTATTGACAACCCAGGAACCAGACCAGGAAGCAGAGTTGTAGTCTTATGGCTCGTGCACACGAGAGCGTTTTGAGCTGCCAAAACGCGCAAAACGCCTCAAGTTGGACGCACTGCTTGGACGTATGTTCACACC